AACGGTTACGATGTAGTTTCCCTATTTTACTGAGTAACTCTGTAATTTTCGTTAAATACAATTCCGTTGCCCTCACCTGTGTTCTCCTTCACTACACTATACCTACACCAGCGAGACTATGGAAAGCAGCATCAGAGCTTCCAGATACACGAAGGTTAAATGGAGCGGCTTCTTTATCTTGACATGGTAAGGTCAAGTGAATGACGCTACTTAGATCTTGTATGTGCGTTTTGGAGGCACAGCATACACCGATGACGCGATATTCTAAAGTCCTAGCTAATGAAGCCTGTTTCTCTGTTTGACACAATGCACGGACATTAAATGCTCCAACATGTAGTTTAGAACGGGGCTTCGAGAGACCAGGAATAACTTTTCGGGGACTCGAATCGTTTGCAGCAGAGGTGCGGGCTGATAAAAGAATGTGAGAATAGTTAGTCGTGAAGATAAGGGGGATGTTAGGGGGTATAGGAAGGATTTGATTTTGACCGATTTGGTCTCGCGTGCTGTTATGGGTATGAGGGCGGTTGTCACCTCCCGGCTGCCCACACCATAGAAGGGTGTTTCTTGAGGGACCTGAAAAGGAAGATACATTGGTGTTGGTCTTGGAGACCTGGGAGCGTGACCGCAGAGCCCGAGGGACAACTGCTTGAGGCCGGTCACGTACGGCCTTTTTATGAGAAGTTTTTTGAGTGTTAGCTCCGCTCTTGAAAGCCCTTAGTGGACACCCTTACCGCCGGAGACGGAAATCCGTGAGGTAGGGTTAGATTTGACATTTTTAGGGTCGACCTTTTCTAACCCTTCCTTCCTTGTGAGAAGGCAGCATCGCTGCAGATGCTGGTTGTCCGATGGAAACACCTTACTTCTGTCACACGCCTCTACACTCAGCAGTACGACTTCGTCCTCAGACCTTGGGTAGCTGCTTTTAGTCTGATCGTTCTCCAATCGACCTGCCTGGCATGGTAGAACCTTCAGAAACATAAGTTCCAGCCATTATAGCTCGGTCGGGTCATTACGATAGGCAAGCCCGACCACCACGTCACGGCAACAGTCGGTAATTCTCACTAGTCCGTCTCGGTGATTTATATAATTTATGCTGATGATTACGCGAATCCTAACCCATTAGTTTTAATCTACGCCTACACTACACATTCCAATAATCAATCACTTCATAGACTGGTTTCATTACCCTTAACTTCCAACTTATTCATATACCAGCTATCATCCTACATTTAGTTATACAGAATCCAGCTACAAAGTGTATTCATTTTTCACTTTTTGATTCACTAAATATTTTATGTAGTCTTGTTTTTTAAATATCCAGAATTTTTGTATATTTACTCATTAATCTTGTTGTTGATCATAAAAAGTACAATAATTTGATTCAGTACAATTTATAAAAAATTTTGTATTTCTCTTGTTTGTATTATTATATTTGTTATTAGTTATTTATTAATTATTTTGTCAATTAAAGTATTATATCCTCTATAGTCTTGTTTTATTAGATAATTTTTTTTTTCAATCTAATGCACTTTAATGATGATATATCTTTTGTCCTTTAAACAGTAGAAAAAATGAAGTTAAATTTTGCAGGTTGTAAATTATGTTCAATTACTAGCAATTAATTGTGAGGTATATATATATATATATATATATATATATATATAAAGTATAAATAAATAGTTCACTTCTTTATGTAAAAATTATGATATTTCATATCAAGTATGTGTTTCTTCGAGGCAACATTTAGGTCTATGCAAACTCGAAGTCCTGTGTTCAATACATAACATATCATGGTTGTACATTCTTGTAATCGCTTGTTCAGCTAATCAAGGATTGACAATGTCAGTTGTTCTGGTTTTTAATGGTTATTGGGATCTGTGGTAAATTGGTCAAGCTTTGCAAAGCAATAAACTCAACTTAGATATTTTGCCCATATTTATTAAATTTTCACGATAAGTTAATTGTAATGTTGACAATGTTCCAACGTAATGGTTGAATCTGAATTATATTTTGCCGACGTTCTATTGTTTTTATAGATTATTCAGTCAGGTGAAAGTATCGTTTTCTACTCATTCGACTTAGTCGTTGACTCATTACCAAACAGTTTCATTTTCAGGAGGTTGAATGGACTGTAATGATGGTCTGTCCTGAACAAATCATATGCTTTCACAAAGACCAAGGAAGCGTATAATTTTGACTAAACCGGTATAACACTTCTTTTTTTAAAAATGATATACGTCATTCCGTATAATTTCTACGTAAAACTTATTCTTTCTAGTTTTTATTTGTCAATAATTTCAGCATAAAGTGTGCTCGCGATTCAAACTCTCTGAAACGTAAATCGGATTACTCTTACGATTCCGATCATACACCTACACCAGCTGATCAAGAAACCATAACACCTTTTAAACCCTTAAAGAAAAATGCAGGATTTGAACGAATAAAAATAAATCCTACCAGTGATTTTCATAATCTCGCACCGCTTGCATCATACAATGGTAGTGATCAACGTATTCGTCCACGTTCCATGCTTATTTCATCATCCGGTATTGATAATCAATTATCACAGATTTGTTTAAAAACAAAACATGTAAATAATGACGTAAATGCTCATCATCATGATATTAATCCTGATATTTCAAAACGATCCTCTGAACCAATACCATCAATTGTATTTATTCCATGTAAAGCGTCTGTAGATAATAACAACAATCATACCATTATCAGTAATAATGGTAATAGTAGTAGTAGTAATACGAATGGTCATAATAGTACTGTGACAAAACCATCTAGCCCTCCTGTATCTATGTCGAAGAAATCTCCTTTGATTGATGTTGAAACAAATTTAAATAAATATCCTAAAAGTTCTAGTCCTCAAGCAGTGGGTTTACATCGAAAACGTTCTGAAAACTCTCATGTAAGTTAACATTTTTGAAAAATTGTTATTTTGGTTACTAAAAAAATTCTTCCTTTTAATGATATATAAATAATGATATATAATAAATGTATATTCAGTTCAAATTTCCCTTTGAAATGACCAAGTAAGCTATGAACATTGGAGTTCACCTATGTTCGGTGTGTAGAAAGTTTGCCCACTAATAATGAATGGTTGCGAAATATCAGAAATTGATTGAAACAATCATTAGTTAATGGCTCAATAGTCTAAAAACCTTTCGTAATATCTAAAGATTTTGGGTTTAATCTCTTCTTTTGAGGTCATAGATTTGCACTAATGAAAAGTCCTATATTCGAATGAAACACTTGTCCAGTTCTTTTTGATTTTCACTGGCTTTCGAACTAAAACCAATCCGTGATACTCACTCATTCATTCATTCATTTTTATTGTACAAAATGTAAAATATTGATAATCAACAAAAATATTTGAAAAAGAACCAACTTTTTCAAGTGATCTCTTATATTCGATCATCTTCACAACTGCCCATAACAATTTTATATCTCACTGTTCTATCAAAATTTATAAAAGGGACTAATTGTTTTAAATAAAGGTTTAATTATCAGTTCGTTGAATTATACTCTCACGCTTTTACTAGCGATTACTCATTGGTTTGCCATTTAAATCCATTACAGTAGTAGTCTGTTAATCATATGCAATTATCTCTAATAGCTTACAAACAGAGATGATACTCTGTACAATATACAATGTATTGTTGTATTGTTTAGTTTGTGTAATAATTTGTTTAGGTCGATTGTTTGATGATAGATAAACATTTTTATCAACCATTGGGGTGAACAGTAGATAAATATAATTCATGTAAATTCATGTAAATCCTTTCTAGCATCAATAAAAAGAGATATACGTGTAATTGTGAAGAAAAAAAAACCCAGAATTTATTCACTGATAGTAAAAAAAATAATAATTGTAAGTCAGAGTGAATACACTTTCATAATAAAAATATTTATAAACTAGTTTATTTTTAACTGTTATGAACAATTTATATCGGCTAACATGGATATATATATATATATATATATATATATATATATGTATACATTTGGTAGTTGTTTAAACTTTAAAATAGTCCAAATTTTAGGTATGATACATGTTAAAACTTATTAAGGCAGAGTATTTCAATTTGATATAAATAGACATCAATATTGCAATAACTGACCATATTAATTTATGCGTTTATTGATCTAGTTTTATCGTGTGATATAATAACCTTATCAAATTATGCCGTATATGTATATGTATATTACCTACTGATATCAGCGTTTGAAGTATCTTTTTGTTGATAATAGAATCGACTAGCTTTAGAAGATCAATAGACTGGTACTTACCTATTGAATTTAGTTTTTTTTCATATCCACTGACAATCAAACTTACATAAATTGATGTGTTTTAATCCAAGACTTTTATTATTGTTCAACGGTGTGAAGGAACCATGCTGCCTGCAAGATATGTAGAGATCTGAGAGTTCATATGCTAAGAAGTATTAAATGAGGGCAAAACAACTGTTCAATTCCCAAGTTTTCACTGGTTCCCCATTTGATGCCAGCTTTTATCTGTGCAAACTCCTTAACCCGGTGATATTATATTCAATATATTCATTACTTCCTAAAAAATAAATGATGTGCATTTTTCTTTGTTTAAGTGCGTTTAAATAAAAATAAATGTTGAAATCACTGCTTTGATCCATATCAATATAATATTTATTTATATTTCCTGTTTATCCTTCTTTAAATCGAAAAAAAACATTCTTTATAATTTACATGATCATGTCCAATATATATTACAGCTTGTTACTACTACTCTTAAAGATCTATAAAAGTGAGTTTATGTTTTGATGATTTATAACTGTTATAAACCAATAGAGAAAAAACAAAAAACAAAATAGAATTTTTGTAATTTCTATGTTACATCGCGCTCTTTCTTAGATGATGACTAAATAAATGGAATGTCTATGCATGGTTAATTTTTACTTCCTTCCTTTCTCCTCTCTCTGTTTGTCTGTTTCCTAATTTATAATTAGTGTATACCGTTTAAATTGTAAAGTTTCACCTTTGTTTTTTTGTTTTGTCCTAAAATTAACTGATTTTTATTCGGGTCATGTGAATTTCTCATAATTTATTTATGCACAAGTCACCTATTTTTACTTCTCGCTAACTTTTCGTAGCATATTCAAGTGATAAAGTAATCTGGATTTTGGTAGATGTCAGTTTTAAAACAGAATAACATTATTAATTATTCGACTATTCGACTAGATTAATAACAGAATCTTGACTTAATTGTCTCTATAGTAGAGAATTAAAAGTTATTCGTAATATGACAGATGATTTGAACATGTTGACGTTTTGTTTTCCATCGATATAATTTAATTTCTAGTTGTTGTAGGTGGGCGAATGAATTTTCTTTTTAATTATTTACATCGAGTAATAATAGTGGAGCGGAAATTCCCCTTCCCCCGTATGAAGCCTATTATCCCTAATAGAGCATAGGCCGCCGACCAGCATTCGGCAACCTCCTTTGTTCCTGGATCTTCCTTTCCAGTGGACAAGAAATGAGGTCGAATGATAAGTTGTTTGAATTCGGCATTACGTTTATGGCTGTAAAACATGGCTAGTCAGAGTAGAAGGTATTCGTAGGTTACTGGTTTTCGATCATAGGTGTTATAGAAGCACTGTTCGTATATCCCAGGACACCCGAGTGAGCAACGCTGTTATTAGGAAACTGGTGCTAAGTAAGAACGGCAGATCAATAAATGAATTATTGAAACCGCATCGGCTTAGGTGGTTAGAACGTGTGTTACGTATGCCCAACCACAGACTGCCTCGACGAGCTATGTTTTGTGGTGTACGTTTAGGTTGAAAGAAGGTTAGGGGCGGCTAGTCCAAAACATCGCACAAATCCATGAAGTCACTGACAAGTGAACTGAGTCATGTTGGTAGATGTAAGCTACCTGGATAGGGTCTGTGGGATGATAGTGATGTGTGGTTAGAAATCTTAAATTGCATGGCTCAAAATCGTTTGCAATGTTGCAGGTGCATCCAACCTTAGTGTTTCCTCAAATTCTGATCTTCTGAACTCCTCATGGTCGTTTTATCTCTTATCAAATTTATCTCACTGAATTATACTTCTTCAATAACATGTTAGAACCCTAATCTTCTCTGTTACCGTTAACACGACTACCTCTACTACAGTGGGATTCGAATTGACAATTGTATCTCTGTGCTAATATGATATAGTAAATTGAACTGATGTAAGTACGTACGAAGTTCCACGTTGTAACTGACTGACTGACATTGCATAATCATAAAGTCACCATTGATTAGTGTTTTTCAGTAATTAAGTGATTTTATCCAATTTAACTATCGGTTGGATTGTCATTATTGACATACTAATTGCGCATCAACATCCCATTTAGTTGTTTTTTAATGATTTAACACAAACCGGACATAAATGATGGTAAGTGAATTCATTGAATGAATGTAGTTCGTTTTTTATCTGATCTTCAATTAACTAATCAAACTAACTTATTCTAGTATTCATTAGCTTTATTACAGTCGAAATGTAATATGGCTTAACTTTTATTGTTCCTTTTCCCACTGTTTACATTTTTATATCATTTTGAGTAGAAAATTGTATCAAGTCTGACTTCTTTTCCTTGGAATTTGTCAGCTATATATGTTTTTGATTTGTTGCTCATGTGCGACTAAGTAACTAATCCTGGCGTTTTAGACAAAAATCCTAAGTTGATTGTAGCCCTTATTTGACGTAAGTAGCTAGTGAAAATGTTACAAATGTTTAGCCATTCCCAACTTCAACATGCATTATTGTCTAGCATGAGCGTAAGCTGGAAGAGCATTTGGTTCGCTCATATCACAAGACACAGAATCAGTTCATGAAATCATTGAATAGACCATATCGGGGAAGTGTGCATACTTCCTGGTTGAATTCGAATCGATAATCTTAACCTATGATTAGATATTTTGAGTGTTGTGACTCGAAATTTCTCTCAATAGTGGAAACATTTTCTTCTATTAACTTCACCGAATTATGACAACATTCTCCACTTTTAGCTTTTCGCTATTATTTATTTAACTTACTTAATGTTCATCTAGTTAATTTCTTTTCACTGTTCTATTGCAAAGTGACATTGATTGACATTTCATTCAGTTCGTATGTTGTTTATAATTAACTGATTAGATTCTATTTATGTCAATTTCGCTATCATTGAGTTAGAAGGTATACTAGGATACTATTCATGGTATATATTTGATTGTTGAAAAATACAATTGACATAATGTTTGTTTAAATATAATGAAAACTATATAACACCTTGATTTCTACACGATGTTATACTAAATCTAGTTTCTTTTTTCCCCAACTGAGTTAAAGACTCAAACATTGTTACCTTTATAATCTACTGCCATGGTCGCTTGATTTATTATTGATTGTTTTACTAGTTTAATAAAATACAACGCTTCAGTTATATGCATATACTAATGTACATAGCGGATAAATAATGTTTGCATTGAAAAGGGAGATAGCGCACCTCTTGGTTGTTTTGGGGGACTGGTATAACTAGCTGGGGGTTATGTGTCCTAACATCCGTGATTACATATTTATGACTGAATATATACAACAGCGTTGAGTTTTCATCAGAAATGGGGGAAAAAATTAGTGTATTCAAGAAAATGAATTGCTTCTCTATATTTTTAATTGATCGCAAAAACAATATACTTTAATTTTTATTGACCGTCAAAACCTCCGGATTCTTTAATAATTCCGTTTTTTTCGATTAAGCATTACTAAAGCCTTCTCTCTGACAGAACAGATCTTTTCAATTCACATGTGTTAGTAAGTGAGTGGTCTGTTGTGCAATCAGTTGAACGACTTGATGTATGTGAATAACTATATCTTTTAAGATTGTGTGCGGCACACACACATACGCTTAAAATCTATATAGTTTCGTATTACAAAAATGTAGTAATGTTAAACAAAAGGTATACGTTACAAAGATTTGTTAAATGATCAAATTTCAATTTCATTAAATTAACATAATGTAGTTAAGTAGTAAGTAGTACTATAATCTATTTGGAATGTGTAAATTAATAAGCACACGTATAAGTGAACTAACTATCCTAATACAATACTTGTGATTTGATAGTACTTTTATGTTGAAAAATAAATTAGTATATGATTATACTTTAATAGATTTGGATTTCTAAAAAAAGTACTATTCAAAGTACATTGTACAATGTTGTACTTCATTTAATTAAGTCTATTGAATGATGAAATGATGAATATCACATGAATGAATCAGAATTCAAGTTCTCTTCGTGATTATTGTAGAAATAAAAAAAAAAGAGAGAAGGTTTATCATAGTGAGCTGCTAATTAACGATAACATAGTGATACTTATAGATGATCATCTAATTTTAAATGTTCTAACGATGATTTAGAAGAATTCAGTAATCAACAATGCAACGATGGAAACAAAATCGTTTTAGTGTATTGTGTTATTGAGTCAGAGAGAATGTGTAAATTCAGCGACTGAATGAATATAATTAATAATAAATAGATTTTGATTCACTGATGAGTAAATCAATGTCTTATTAGTTTTAATCGAATTAACAAACCAGAATACGAATAGTAGTTAACTAACTAACTAACTAGCTAGCTAGCTAGCTAACAACTGTACGTGTTATTTCACTACTTATTCAATTCAATAAAATATTCGACTAATTATCCTGATTGTATTCATTTGTTGGTATTATCTTTAGATAGAAAAAAAAGCTTTTAAGATATTTATCAAAACCGAATCAATGTAGATAAAATTTAATTTTTACAAGTGAATTTGAAACACTTCATATTTTTAAAAAAAAACATACAATAAAATTTCAACTGTCGCGTGTTTTGGTTTTTCTTCCAAGAATTCCATAATCGATTGTAGTCTGTAATTAAACCATATTTGTGTAATAAAATGAAAACTCATCAGTGAATCCAATTCATGGTTATCTATAAAAAAATAGTTAAATGACCAGTTTGTGCTTTAAAAAGTACTCTTTCTTTGTGAACTAAGAATCATTAACAGATTGATCACTATCGTGAATAGTCATTGTATCATATCAGTCTGTCAAAGGCCTGTTAGTTTAAGTAGTATAATGCCTAATCATATAGGTAGTCTACCAAAATGGCGATATACTTTCTTATATTTGATTATGGTTGAACTGATTCGTATTTGCAGATTCAGATTACCTGGTTGGATTTCGCACAGTCATTGCTGATGGTGAATGAAAATGTTGAGTGTCATAGCTTAAAATCTGTCTCTTTACCCTCCTATAAACTTTGAGTTCTAGTATTCCTCCTTATTTTTCTTCTCTAGTCATTCTTATCATCATTACTACCAGTTTACGTCAACTCCTTTGCAATTCATGTTGTTATGATAATAACAACCTTGCTTAAGCCAATATATTTATGCCAGGCTTTACAATGATTATGACTAGCTTATTAAGATAGTTGATTATTTACTTTGAATATAGACTGACACCGGCTAAACAACTATTGAAGTCTTGAAGAGATTGTTTGATATCTGTTTCGTCCAAATATAAAACTTGTCAACATATCTCATCTGAAACTTCTTCAATCTTGATTTGCATGTTCTCACATTGATGCATTATTTTTTTATCCCTTCATACCGAAATAGATTTTTTTTGGCATCGTGATCATTGATTTGCCTACCGTGTTTTGTTGTTTGAATGAAATGACTGTCACTTTATATATTTGTCTTAATCATAGTCATTTTTTACCATCATGAAATATGAAAATCTATTTTTGTAAAGCTAAACCAACAAGTAAATTGATCAATAATTTATTGGTGATAAATTTTCTTTTATAACTTAATCTGTTCACAAGGCTACAGTTTGTACCTTATTATCTGCGTTAAATAATAATGGTCGAATGATAAAGCTATAGACTAAACTCAAAGTTATCGAAATCAATATGATTAATTTTTTTCACAATGTACTTTATCAAGGTGCGTTTGTGTATCATCTGTTCAATAAGTTATTCGAAGGTTGTAGAATGTTGGTTAAATGATCAAATCTTACTATAACATCAAATGATAATTAGCTTGACCTACATTTATTAATTTATGGCTGCTATTTTTGCTGTTTCATCTTTAAATAAAGTATCTTTTCGCTTACGTAACACATTGATTATAAACTAATGACGTATATAGATTAAGATTTTAACTGATTTACTTTTTAATGCCTAGAGAAGTAATTCATTTTGCAAGTTAATTAAACTACTTCCCTCGGTTGATAAACACACTTCAAAGTTAAATGCAGTAGTGTTCTTGTTTCTGTAGACATTCAACATGTGCAAATAAGATTTAAACTTTACTTTCTCTGTCAGTCATCTCTGCGATCATCAAGTATACACTCATTTTACTTAAGCTATGATTTCTTTTATGAGAAGATGTTAGATTTCAAGTAATTTCATGAAAAGAAAAACATATAGATTGTCCTGTCAGTTAAATGTAATGATTATAATTGTGTTCATCATCAAAGACGTTTAATTAATTTTGTACATTCTACGTTGTAACTGACTTACTGGCTGTTGAATTTAGTCATTATATCTCCCTGTTCACTGAGTGGATGGGGCAACTAAATGCTAATTATCTATGTCGACAGATTACATTAGTAGTAAATTAAAACAAAGTGAGAGAAATACAAGTGTTTATTCAGTTTATGTTGTAGTGATCACTTTATCATTATCAGACTAAATATTACCACGAATTCAGACTATTATTTTCTGAATGAAGCTACGCTTCTGACTCTCACTTGAAATCATGTACGAGACTGATTTATACTCAAGCTTTATCAATATTGTAGTTTTTGCCTAAGTATATATTTCTCTTTTCTAAAGTAATCCATTCTTGCTCTCACAATAAAATAAAAATTGATTTGTGAATTGTCAATCAATTTGGAAAGAGGAACATCAATCTAGTTTTCATTTATCATCACACTGATCCTAGATTCCATTTTCGATGAGACCATAGCATGCATCATAGTCTATCATTTAGTTACTAACAAATCCTATTGGTGATATTGATCTACCACTGCATGTGGAATATAATCTTCATTATTACTTTGCTCTTTAAACTACATCGATTAGATTTTATGACGCCCAAATGCAAAAATTCTTGTTATGATTATGATCAATTATGAATGATGTCTGAAATGATTTGTTTCTGCCTTTTTTTTGCCGCTTTGGTACTTTAGCAAAAGTGATCAGTTATTATTATTATTATTATTATTATTATTATTATTATTATTACTGTTTAATGATACAAATTTTCAATCTAAATGAATTGCATGGTTAACAAATTACCATAATTTATCTGATCCTCTTTTTATTTGGAAAATATACAGCAAAAACTTGAAAAAAATTATTGATTGATTTTCTTATTTTGAATTGCTTTTATTGATTTGTTCTATCCCATTCTACCTTTTAGATTAATCCACCACCAGCTGAACATCGTGTCTCACGTGTACTGGAGTTAGTGAAAGCATTTGAAGGAAGTATTTCATAAACAATTAACTATAGAGATGAATTATGAATTTTTGTGCCTAAATTTCTTTATCATCCTTTCTACTACAAACCATGTTAAATGATAATCATTGTGTTAATACTATTATTTTATTTTATGACTAATTGTAATGTGACTGATTACAATACTTCACATACCAAGATTTCTTACTCTTTTTTTTTCAGTACTTATTTATATTTATAATTGTAAACTTTTTGAGTGTATACAACATAAACCCATCACTCAAATTATTCACAAGCAGATGTGTAAACATTTGTTTTTTTTTCTTGTTTATTCTCTATCACTGCTGGTTATTTTCATGTGATTGCGCCACAAAGTCTTTTTTTTGTTTTGAGAAAAGTTGAAATCTTAAAATATCTGTTTATCAATTGACATTTTATATCTAATCCGACTGCTACGTAATCATATAATTTCATTTTATACTCACTCAATTGTATTTTTAATTTAAATTATACAAACTTAACTGTGTAATTATCCTTGTCTCTCTCTCCGTGTGTGTCTGTGTACGTGTGCGTGTGCCTCTTTTGTATTCTGCTTTTATGGAAAGGATTTATTGTATTGGTTTGTGCCTTGCAAAAGCTACCTGCTGTCGTCAAACTGAAACAACAACATCAACAACAAATTATTCAATGTGTCAATATTTTTATTTGGTCTAAATAAATATTTTCATTTTTTTTTCTTTCTCATAAAGTAAAACACATAGGCAATAGATGATATTATTTTCAGATTTAAATATATATATACAGCATGAAATTTTTGTTTCACCATGAAATCATAAAAATTATATAAATTTACCTTTTATAATTTTATTCATTACTTACTTGAGTGTTTGGTCTCATTGTTTGTGACTAATGTACAATAATAATTAACAAAAAAAAATATTTTATTGAATGATTTATTTATAATTGATTATTGACCGTTTAGTGCTTTATTATTATCATCATCATCAAACATTCTCTGTTCTTGTTAATTATTAATACTAACTATTGACAAACGAATAAACAAAAATTATATTTTATTTCTGTAATATCACATGATCATTGAATCCCGGATAGCGTATAGAATTGGAGAAGATTATTTGTTTTTGAGTACTTTTACAATTGGTTTTCTTAAATTTATTCTTCCAAACTATACATAATATTCATACATCAACTTTGTTCTTTTTCATACATATGTTGACAGAATATATATATATATAAAAGAAAAAATATGTATATTATGATTTCTATTCAACATATTACATATTTATATATATAGAGTCAGCTGAATTAAATTAAATAATAAACACACAATCGAACTAGTTCACATTCTAATTAACTGAGGAAGAGGATAAGGATTTGATGAGTTAATTTCAGAGATGCTTAGCAATGTTGAGTTGTCCAGTTTGTTGGAGGCCAGATTAACTAAGATAGTTGTTAGAATCATGGAGCTAGACGTAACCCTATCTGACTCGTCTTAAATCCTGGTCGTTCCAGTTTATAAGGAAATTTTGTGGTAACCACAAAGAAATCAGTTTGACTTATATAGTACGAAAAATGGTAACCTCTGTAATCATCCGACATCTGTCTCGTGGTCAGAGACATCAGACTCTGTTGGTTCCAGATATAGGCTTGTATATATTGACTTAATATCCACGTTAACACCCTTACATATCTGAGCAGCATGATTGACGAGCAAGGTGGATCCGATGCAGATGTGAGGGCGCGGATTGGCAAAGCGAGGGCTGCATTTCTACAGTTGAAAAATATCTGTAACTCCAAACAAATCATTCAACACCAAAATCAGGATTTTCACTACAAATGTCAAGACAGTTCTACTGTATGGAGCGGAAACTTGGAGAACTACGAAGAAGATACAAGTATTTATGAACAGTTGTCTTCGCAAAATACTTCGGATTCGTTGGCCAGACTATCAGCATTAACTTTCTGTGGGAGAGAACAAATCAAATTCCAGTGGAGGAGGAAATCAGGAAGAAGCGGTGGATGTGGATAGGACACATACTGAGGAAAGCGCCGAACCGCGTCACAAGACAAGCCCTCAAGTTCAAAGGAAAAGAAGAAGTCCAAGGAACACATTACGCCGAGAAATAGAGAAAGATATGAGAAGAATGAACAAAAACTGGGAAGTGAAGCCCAGGACAGAGTTGGTTGGAGAAAACTGGTGGGCGGCCTATACTCCGTTGGGGGTAACAGTTTCTCTCTAAATGCGAAACGATAGGTCGGAACTGCGATATGTCACTATCCAAACTTATGGTAGGGAGTAAAGCTGTTGTGCGTGCCTATTGTTTCATTTATCTCTAATATCTCATCATACTTGGTGGGCTAATATGGGGTGAAATATGGGCTAGACTTCAAGCAGTTCTATTGGCTTTCGGCAAACTGTGGTACCTATGACGAAGGTGAGATCTGCATCTACTAACTAAAAGGCCAGTTTATTGAGCGGCAGTCCTTGCTTTTTTACATTATGCCAATGAAACATGTCCTAAAGAAAATAGAATATATACATGGACTACATGTCTTTAGTCATAAACTCCCCAAAACACTGCTTGTATGTTAATTAACTGGTTTTGTATATTCTGTACATATTAGACTATTAATTAACTACTAGGTAATCCATACACCTATTGACTGTACAGACTTTTAGAATGATATATAATTATGGTTATTACTGAGGATAAATCAGTTTTATGTTCTCATTGCCATGGCAGTTTCGTCCTGTTACAATAAGTAGCCGACAGCAGTTATTCCGCAGTCTTACTAAACAACATTTCAGTAACAGTAATCAGCATTTAGATTGTCACACAGCAGCGCTTTAACTAACAAACCAAGTTACTTCAGAGTTTTTTGAAGTAACGGTCCACATGAAAACCAAGAAAGAGGAGAAGTCCAAGAATAAATTCATGAGAACTGCTTCTCAGCTTTCAGAATCCTCTAATGCAACAAAATCACTACCGATGCTGTCTGATGACTAAAAAATCACAGTTATAGGAGAGAAAACAAGTGACGTGAATAGTTTTAGAAAACCAAGATATAAACTTAGCGGAGGCTGGGGTAGTGGTAGGCTTTTCAATCCATACCGGGACGTCGACAGTCAGAGTGGTCTAAATCGCCGGAGCCTAAAAAATCAATCCAAAGAGATGACAACTAGAATAATTCTGATTTTGACTATCAAGTAGCAGCCGGAAGTGGTCACTCAGAGCACGTTTTAAGTTGTTCAGATGATCAGAAAAATCTCGAGAGCCAGTCGAAGCATAGCTCAGTGGAATTCGAAAAACTAACAACCTGACACCGGATATAATTCATAAAGTAGACTGAAGGGTTACGCTTTGGAAGAATGAATGTTTCTGTATCGATTTCCCAACCAAACACTTATCAAGCACACTGTAAAGCGAAAACAAAGAAGAAACCTCAGAATGTTTCAGGCAAGTTTTTAATGTCAATATAAGTTAATGATTCAGTGAGAAATCATGTCTCAGTCATTTCAGTTGATTTATTGATTTTACAGATTCTATACACATTAGATTATTGAATAACGACTCACTTGATTCATTCAAGTTTATTGTTTGACTGAAGCATTTAAAATGATGAGTAGTTCGCTGTTCTAGGAATCGTTTAATTAGTAATTATTGAATAAAGACACAGTGTTCTTTCTTTCTTACTTTGAGTTAATAGAGCAGTCTTGTCCTGTTTCAATAAGTACCAAGTTGAAATACTTCAAACTCATATAAAATAGCCGTTTTAGTCGGAATAATCAGTATTTAGCTCAAATCACAACTGTGAAATATATCAGTCTTGTTTCAAGATACTACGTTTTGATAGATACATACATCTCTTGCAAACATTTAGTGTCTTTTTAACAAGTCATCTTCTTAGTTAGGGTTATAAAGTCCTAATTTAAACAACGTGTAATTCTAATTGTTTTACTAAAATCTACACTTTGTATTAAAAAAGCCTAATTGTTATGCTGAAATTATTCACTAAATTAGTGTCATATGTGAAATAGTTTTGTGAAAAATCAATAATAATACTAATAATTAAATCAGGCATACAAACAGTAAAAAATTGATCATATTCAATGTAGATCTAAGTGAATGTGATAGATAGATTTATTATTTAGTCATACATTTCTTTAAAAAATGAATCATATAGCATTGATTACATTACATTAACTTCCTGGGAATTTTATTGTTAATTTCATGTAATCATCATTAAATCCACAACAATAAACAGATCAAGTCTTGCTTGTAAAATTAAAATCACTATGAAATGTTATTTTTTTTGCACTGTCAATTGAATAATATTGGCTGGATCACACATCGAGAAAACAATTTTGTTTCTTACAAAAGTATTAAAAAAAACAAACAATCAATTTAAAATTGATCCATCATAAAAATCTCTATATCACATGGTATTACAAAAAATAAGGTATAAAATACAAAGAACTTAAACCGATTTCTCAATTATCGAGTCCTACTTAGCTGTACTGTAGGATTTTGATGAATAGAAAGTTTTATTATTTTCTCTAACCTGTTTGTAAATAAAATGTGATAGTTGATAACGAAGGAAATTCTACTCAACGTGGAACATTTTATTGCTTTGAACATTTTAAGCTTACAAATTCTAGTAAAATGAGCTACAAGTATATGTGAGATAAAGAAAATGTTAACAGTACATGACTTGAAATATATTATCATCCAAATAATTTAATTTCAGAGCAATGTATACAATAATAACTTACCAAGTTTAGTCGGATTTCCAGAGTTTACTGCTGTGTTTTTACTCTATACCATTTTTCATACACAATTTTATTAGTCGATAAATTAACTGATGTTAATTATATGCAAATTTGTCATCAAATCAATCATTGAAACTGGATAAATTGAGTAATGGCACACGATGGAATATAGGACATTTGTTTTGACTTGATACTCGTTGACTAAATGTACTTGCAGCCTAGTATTGATATGTGCATATCGTTAGTCATAATCGTCAACCTTATTAAATCTTACGACCAAATGATACAATCTAGATGGATGTACATATACATATTAATTTACATCCATAGCTACAATACACACATTCTTACAAGTAATTTTAAAATAAGTTATTTACCGTTTATTATAGGTTTGCTCATATTATTTTACAATAAATATTCAATAATATAATTTTAACAAACAAATATACAAGTATTATACAACAACATATAATTTAAGAAAAAAATATTCATAATATTTGTGTACATAATTTTCAAAACTAAGGTCATACATTGAAAACAAAACAAAACAACTTATCAGTTAGTCAATAATAATTGTTAAAACATCAATATTTTGGTTAAACCATGTTGTTTATTATGTTTAAAATAATAAAATTTAAATAATTATTTTCGAATAAACAAAAAGTTAATTTGAATGAACAACACATGAAATTCAATGAATAACTAAACAATTCAATTTCTTTATTATATTATATTTCTTCTACTTAATTAAGCTTTATATTTATCACAAGATTTTAACATGATTATTAAGTTAGTTATATGTTTTGGTTAATAGTTAAAGTTGATTCTTTACTTTTGTTTTAATTATGTTTTTTTTTCATCAATTTCTCATAATTGTTCACCTACATTTTGGGGAGGAGTATTGAAAGTATCCTGTGATCTGTGTTATTTGTTTTTCGCTGATCAGTTTTATTTTTCATCAATAAAAAATCTTATCGGAACGAGTAGTTATGTTTCCTTCATTAAAGAAATTATCAGTTGCCATTAGGGGTTTTCATTCTTTTAAATAAAACATCAATTGTATAATTTCTTTCCTATCTATCTATTCTCCTTCTTATGTTATTCTTTATTACAGAGAATATAATCGGTACTGATTGATTCATTAAGAATTATATTACTGTTACAGTGATTAAAAATTTTTATTATTCAAATTAGGACATTAATTACAAAGAATTATTTTACAGATTTTTTTTTCAAATTGTGTTAACAAGGTAGTTTAGGGTTAGTTTTTATTGGGTTCGTCACTTAGTATGCTTGAGGCTATTACGAGTTTACCTTAGTCGATAAACGCGAACGAGATAATTACCAGCGTCCAGATAGGCTACCTTGAATCCCAAAGTAAGGTAAGAAGACTTTGTAAGCGTAGAAAGTATATTCTACAAACACCCAGCAATCACAGTACAATCAAGCATACAACTCTCGTTTATTTATACATCATAGAAACGTCCTTGGGACAGTTAAGAAAATAGCACACTAAAATACACAGCAGCCAACCACAGCCATGGATTTTCCTGGTGGGAATTGAAATCTCAAGGTCAACTGATCAGCCCATGCTGGCAAACGTGAAATCCAAAATAAGGCATTTAT